ATATATAGTTATTTCGCTCTTCTGGGTAAGGAGCTCATGATCGGAGTGGCCTCTAGTCTTGTTCCTAGGGTCGCCTCCCACGGCGATGATTTTTGGCGGTTTTCCATTACACCAGACCAAATGGTGGTCCCCACTTTCTCTGTTCTTTGGGACAGTCATGATAGTGCAAGTTTTTTCGAGCGGGCGTTCGTGCCTGCTCAGTTGAGATTAAGCAGTATATTAGGCTCACTTATATATTATAGAACCTAGCTGTAGTATGTTAGGTAATAATAGTAATAAATGTAGACTAAATTTCTAGCTCTCTGCTTTGTGTCACTTCGTCTGTTATTTTTGTTCGGCTTTGGGTCCCGTCTATAGGTCTGTATTGGTTCGTGTTAGGGCTATTTATAATTATTGTTATAAATTCTAATCTATAGGATTAGCACGTACATAAATATTGATCATCTATAGGCGGCACACTCGAAACCTACCTTGCTAATAGTTCCGAGACAACAGTTTGGTATGTTTAAAGATGCTAAAACCCAAGCCAATTGATAGTTAGTGACCTGCTTCCTATGACTTTAGCGAACCCTTAAGCAGGCTTTAGTATAATTTATATTATCTTGACTTAAAAGGGGTGTTTAAACTCAGCGAGCTATGAATAGAGTTACCTTGCTTTGAGGGAATATCATTCAGCGTCACCGTAGACTGGGAAGAATTCTGCCTTACGCACGATTCTTAAAAATTACTCTTCAAAATGAGAAAACATCGACCAGGCGTTAAACCTAAGGAGGTTATAGCTTGTCTACCAGTGTTATGGTTCTGGTTGCATAGTGATAAAGTAACTAAATGACTTTTGTAGTGGTCAATTATTATAGGTAATTAAGAAAAGTCACCTGACCCTTTGTGAATACCTTGGAGAAACTGACTAAGTTACACACTTCGCCTGCTAGTGAGTAAACGGTCAGAAAGCTTAAAGTGAAAGAGTGACATAAGGAGTGACGGCTACAGTCCTATTAGCTAGTTCATAGGTAGTTAGTATGTATTATATTTTTTTTGGGTTAATTTAACTCAAGTTTCAATTCATGCTGGAGTAAAAAAAATTTATATCTAGAGAACCACTCCCCTTGCTGAGTACCGGTAATTTTTTCAAAAATTTACTACCTAGTATATATATAGAGATATTCAAGCAACTCCCATCTATTTACTCGCTTTGTTAAGTAAAACAATAATTAGCAATCTACATTTCACACCTAAAAAGGTTGTTTTTAGATAATCGAACTCTCAGTCGAACTTGTTTTTACTCTAGTAAGAACACTATAATCGGTTAGCATTCCTAAAGTGTTATTAGTTATTTTTTTCTACTAGAAAAGAACTCTTTATTTTTTTTTCTCGTGAATTGTTACTAAGTTTAAGTTAGTTTTAAGGGATTGAGCCTGTTAATTTAAAGTTTGCAACCTCGATGTGAATCACCACTGGTTATCAAATTGTATTTGCCGATACGCGAGTATGCTTATGCTCGCACATCTGTATCTCCGATTTTATATACATTTTTTCTTAGTGCGGAGTTTAAACAGCATTTACCTTCGTAAAGTTATATCTTGACTTTTTAATGTCAATGCTTATTAAGATATAATGAACTGGAGGGGTATTAAATGACTAAAAATTTAACCAAAATCGCCTAAATAAGAAGATAGCTAAATACTTGCCTTCGTAATAATGTTTCTAAACCAAAAGGACTTGCTGGAAATCAACTCACCGACGTAAATTTGCTAAAAATTAAAATCAACTTATATTTACTACAGTGATAGAAAAATCTGATGTCTTAATCCAAAGCTTCGACATATAAAATTTTTATTATACAAAAGGGAGTTTTTACCTACCCTTACAAAGCACTGATTGCTAGTGCTACAGATAAGCAGACTTAAGTAAAAAAAGGATTAGATACCTAAAGAGCTTTAGGTAGATTCATCACTAAAACGACAAAGGGAATTAACGGTGATACTAGTTCTATTGCTATTATGGTTAAAAATATAATTTATCCCAAAATTTTCGAGTAAAGGTAAAAGAGAGGAACTGAATCCCGAAGGTATCAAGTCCTTACAGATACAGAAGTTGATGCAAGTGAGCATTGCACGTACCGTCTTAAGACTTTTATTTTTTAGTAAATCAGTTTTCCTGGTGCTCGGTGGAGTCAAAAAGATTAAATACACCCAAGCTCTCAATTAGGGTAATTGCAGCCAAAGTACATTCCAGTCATAAGTCGATAAGCTCTTTAAGTTTTTTTCACCTGTTTACCTGACGCTTCACTTTAAAGAAACAGATTAGCACATTAAAACGTCTAATTGTGCGGCTTCGCTTTGACTTCATAAATGATTGAAAAACTTCACTCACCCCGAGCTGTGCTTAGGTATGAGTGTAGAGCAAATTTATAAACTTAACTGCCTTTCTCTTATATAACATTCATAGTTATTGGCGCTACAGTTTAGCACGAGCACGCGTAGGGGGAGATAGCACTAAAAATACCTGCGAAACAAAAAACTAGCGTTTAAAGCACGACACGCGGGCGCCCCAGTAACATGCACCATCCCCATGGATCGTTAATGAGTTCACTCACCAGCAGGTGATAAAACATATCTAGCTGGTCGGTCTTAGGAGACGATCTACCTGAGGTCTCAGTGGGGCCCTCACTTCATTTCGCACATAGTACGGCACTTTTGTTCATCACGCGCAGCAAATTGCTTTGTCACTCTAGGAGTGCGGCCGCTATTGCTGTGGAATCGTAAGCTCATGCAGCAGAAGCGTATGTCATTATTAGCTGGATGCAACAAACATACAAGCTTGCTTTTGCTACATAGTAAAGGATAAAGCGCCTTAGTCGCCACCTTGATCTTGTGCGGCCGTCACAAAATTTTGTAGTCGATGATAGCTTCCAGGTATTTCATTTAAGAGCATCACGAGATCTTCATGCCATCAAGGGGTTTAGGGCGCAAACGTGACCGCGCAGAGCTTTTTCTCTTCCCCTTTATAGGTCAATCCACTTATTGTGAATAATAGTAAACAGGGAATAGTTTAACAGGCGTATACATACTCTAATCAGTTACTTGCTCGCCAGTAGTAACACATAACCTCCCAATTACGACGAACATGTCTTTACTGCATTTTTAAAATGTCTGGGGTAGTAATAAAAGACCTTTGCATAGTAAAGAACTGATGGATTTATTGGGCTATGGGATTGAAAGTAAAGGTAATTGAGAGCGACACTCACAATCCTACTAATATAACTGCTGAGCTTTTAAATAAAAAATGCAGTCGTATTCGAAGACAACGTTAAAATGTCAGAAAATCAAAATATCTAGATAATGGAAGTTTAGTGATACTAATAAATCCAGACGAGTGTAGGAGATTAAAGCAGTCCCTGTAAAATAAAATTTATTTCTAAATAAAATCGTTTTGCCATTCAAGGTTAATCGTCTCTGCTTTTATATTATGGAGAAGAATCAGTTCACCTTACAAACCTCTAAATACTTCTCCGAAGAGACCTTACAATAGAGCGGGACAGTCAAGCTTAAACAATTTTTAAAAACTCATCTAATTCCATTGAAATTGGTAGAGTACTAAAGATTTTCTTTAAGAATTCTAATATACATTTCAGTGGGTTACCTGCCAGTACGTAATTTTTTTTAAAACAGCAGCGTTTCTTAATTAATAACTTAAAATTCTTTATAGAGATCTGCAAGCTGAATTTTACCGTAAGCAAAAATAGTTACCCATCATTTCTAAAGTTTGAAAAAAATTTCGTAGACAGTTGTATCCTACAAAAGCGATAATATACTTGTTAATAACACTACATACCTCTATAGCAAATTGCACTGTCAGCTAGGCCGCTCTTATGCTATAAAGGTATCACTAGTATAGCCAGACACTAGCTTCCTTATTCCAAGTAGTATCTCCTATTGAAACTATATGAGGTTTTTAACTTTGTGGTAAAAATTAAGCCTTCAAGGTGAGTAGACCTAAAAGGAGTCTTACGATAGTTTTATACCTTGCAAAATATGCCACAATCAAAATTATAACCTAGAAGTTTTGCTAACACCAGATAACAAGCGACTGAAGAAATGTAATACAAATTATTCTTAAAGTAAGAAAATATGCATTGCTTATTAAACTAACGCAATACACCACTGCTTACAGAAAGGGCCGGCTCAATGGGATGAAGACCCAGACAGAGAAGGGAGAGAAAAAAGCAGGGGCTGCATTTTCCATGCGACCTTCATATATTCCTGCTATCCCTTAGCACTGACATTCTGGTAGTAACATACCAACCAAAAACTTATCGTTTTACCGTTTTGCTGACTGAGATCCTTTAAGGGTGTGGACGAGGGATCAAATTTATTTTTACCCATTCTTGGTGTTTCCTAGATTCTCGAACCTTTATACAAAATATAGTACTTTTAAAATTAGTGGCTATTTTAGGCCTAAATATGCAGATCTATCAATTATTTTTCTAAATAGTACCATTTCGTATATTATTCTAAAAGTCATCTGTTAAATCTTTAAGCTCGGTTAATTATCTTTTCTATTGCAAAAAAGGTTTAAGTTTTTCTGAGTTAATATATATAAATGCCATCCTTAGTGATGCTTTTCCAGTGATAACAGAACACAAAACTACTAAGTACTAACAAGTTGCTGCAAAGATGGAAGGTGTATACTTAGTAAAAATTAAATAAGGTAAATATTCTCTAATGAGTTGGGTTAAAAGTGTTCAGTTTTTAGAGGATAAACTATTAAGTTTCGGGCAGCAATTAAGGAGCATACAAGAGGTAAACATTTTTAAGGTTAACTCGAATATATAATTGATAAAGAATAAACAATTTCGCAGTTTTGGAATAGCTTATAAATAGCGAAAATATTGATTTTTTACAATGTAAAAGTAACGAAATTCAACAAACTGAAAACAAACGTTTATACTTTTACACCTCGAAATAATAAAATTTTTAAGCAGAAAAAGGAATGTTTTGCAGAGGTAGACTTAAAGACTGCAAGTTCTGTCAAAAGCTCCTTCGAGCACTAACCAAACTCTCTGTAACGACAAAAAGATTATACGTAAGTTTATAAAAGCTTAGCAAAAGTTTGTGAGAAGCTAAGAGTACAAATACTGAAGCATAATTGAACAAATACTTATCCGAAAGATATTAATAATACTACCTGTCTATTCAAGCCCTGTTAATTATGTTTATATAACTTTTTTCGTTACTGCAAAATTGCATACTTTTACTGTGTACTAAATCGAACCAACATATACCGACGTAAACAAATTTATATATTTATAAATTACACTAAAATATAAAATTTTACAGAGCTTTGTTGTTATCTAACTTGGTTTTTAAGTTTCAATAAGAGAGTAGGTCACACAACTGTGAGGAAACCTGTTTAAAGCAATACTTGATCAGGACTTAGCTCTAAAGTAGCAAAGAGTGTTAACAAGGGAAAATACTTTAAAAAAACCTTAAAAGAGCATGACACCGCCGTAGATGGGGCTGTTTTACAAATCTAAGGTCAATTTATAACCAAAACAAAATGGTATTAAATAAATATAATTTAAATATGATCAATAGAGGAAAATTTAACCAAAACTTATAGAGATATATAGCATCAAGTAAAGGACTTTACAACTCTTAAGTTTGTTCTTAATTTTTAAAATCCTTACTTTCAAAGATTTTACTTCCGTAACTAAAGAGCACTCTGCGAATAGAGGAAAAGTTATAGTTCGATTAATAAAGAAAGATTACTTCCTGGTCAAAGGTAACTAGTTTCTACAGGTTTTTATTCTGTTGTTTTACCTGAAAAGAGGAGGACCTTCTTTGATTGTAACCTAATTAGTAAATTAAGGCCTTTGATAAAATAGAAAAAAATATATGATATTAGCCACCCAAGGGGATAGAGTAAAGATTAGAAATGAAGTGCCCTTACTGTGAAGGAGTAAAGTAATACCACTTTACTATGGAAGCAAACTGCTAAACAAGTTATACTTTGAGAAGCACGAGACTAACTAATTAGCACTTAAGAAGTAACAGCTAACTAGCTTGCCTACTCATGTAGAATGTAAAATAATATATAAAAGATATGCAGGTTTTTACCTTTCACGATTGTCCTTTATCGACAAAAAATAAGTCGATAAATTACGCACGCCGGGTAGGAAACTTAATTATAAGTTGCCTCCCCGGGGGAGCTAAAAGAAAATACCTCTTTTATACAATTTTTCCCCGTTCTACTTTAGTAGGAGCTTAAAAAAAAAGTAAAGGAAACGTCGATTTAAGTGCCAAAGAGGAAAATTCGTCCGGTAAAGTTCAAATTATGTATAATTTAATTTATACAGGCGGCAGATAATCTTAAAACCTTTTTTACAAAGTTAAGTTAATATTAAATACGTATTGTATATCAACAAAGAAAAATAAATAAAAGGTTGTAAGTAAAGTATGAAAGGTCTCTTCAATTACAGTAAGAATTCCGCCTGTATATTTTAATAAATTAAAAAAGCTCCTCAAAGACAATTTTTTTATAAATGGGGATTAGATTAAGGCTTTCACAGGAAATCAAAATTTTTTTTCTTGAGTCAGCAAAAAAACCAACTTTCTAAACGCAAGGGTCCGTGGACCCTTCTTACCTTAAAAAGAACCAGGTGCGTGCGTCGTCCGGGAGTCGAACCCGGGTCCTGCATATGGCAAACGCAGAGGATAACCGCTACCCCAACAACGCGGCCCATGAGCTCTTTCGAGCAAAATTCTTAAGTTCTATTCTTTAAGTATGGTTACAAATTTGAAACCGAAATCGTCGAAATATTGTCTTATTATTAAAGATACTATTTATAGATTTTATAAAGACTCATGTCGCCTATAACTTTTTCTCCAAGCTTAATGGGGTAGTGATCTTTATTAGTTGCGACTCCATAATTCTTTTATGAGCTTTTGATTTATGTAATATCTTTTCTCAGACTAATTTATGTACTACCTTCCTACCTTAACTATGTAAATTAATGAATTAAACTACCAAAGAGAGTCAAATTTCTATTGATATACTTGTACTGCACAGTTTCCCTTTAAACTTTAAATTCCTAAATACGAAATAACTATACTTAAATACTATAACATTTGGTACAATTTTAAGTTTGAAATTTTTACAATAATTATGAGGCGGTAACTGGTGTAACTTACTTCTCCAAACTAATAACTAACTGATTAATATAGTCCCCCAATACTTGAGAAGCAATTTACATCATAAAATTGTTTTTTATTTACGTATCTATTTATTAGTAGCAAAGTTTTTAACATTTTGTAACATCCTTACCGAGTAAGGACGTTACTCATGATAAGTATTTACAAGTCAAACACCTTTTGCACGCCATTTAATTTTTGACTTAACCGCAAGCTGTGGCGAGCAATGCTTAACTTTTTTTAATCTTCTCTTTTCTTATTTTCTCTTTTTGCTTTGAGATTTTGTTTGAATTTCTGAAGTTTTTCACTAAAATATTTCTATTTTAAATTATTTTACCATATATAACTTACTTATACTAGTACTTGCTCTAATAGGAATTCTCCAGATTTATTAATTTCTTTATTGTTATATATATAACAATTTTTATTTTTTTTGCCATATCAACATTTTCAAAATATTTTTTTTTGTATCTTTGGTAGTTAATTATAAACCTTTTAAAAATAAAAATTGTAGAAAACTTAACTCCGCGCCTTTTCTTTTAAGTTGACTTCTTTCGCACATATTATAACCCTTTTTCATTGTCAAAGAATTAAATTTTGTGCAAAACAAGAAGGATGCTCAACGCCATCCTATATTAGTACATCATCATTTACTAGATTACGCCTCCCTCACTTACTAAACTCTTACAAAAAAAAATTTGACTATATATTTTCCGGCTTGTGTGAATTGCTCAAGTATTTTCTTTTTTAATTAAATAGTTTAAGTTAAACTTTTGGTTATTATAATAACAACACAAGGAAATTTAACAAACATTGGAGCAAATAATTAACAATTTTATTAATTATCGAAGTAGAGGCACAAACGCAATATCTGTGTTTTAATAAAAAGTAAGTAGTTTAAGCTTGGATACGAGAGCCTCTGTTTAAAAGATACAACCTAACAAAAATAACAAAATGTAGATTGCCAACTTTGCTTCTAGCTGCTAACTGACTAAACCCCTCGGTTTATAAAAATTAGTATTCCAATCGAACAAGATTACTAAAACCATCGAATCCATTTGTCGCTAGTGGTTAGAGTAGTTTACACTTTTAACTATATAAACCCTTTTTTTATCTAGTTTAAATGGTGTGTATAGTTCGCCCAAAGTAGAAATTTTCACTACCTTTGTTATCACCCCAATTATAATTGAGTGGGTTAAATTTTTTCAAAATGATTCGCACAAAACCGCTGTTTATGCAAGTATTATTTTTCTCTTCTAGCATTTATTTAATATTAAAATAACTTTTTTTGCTCCTATATATCCAAAAATTTATAACTAAACAGGTCTAGAAGTCGGCGGCCAAAAAAGGAGAAAATATTTTTTGTGTTTCTATTTAACTTCTTCAATGCATACCCCCATAATTTATTCTTACGGTGTATCTCTCTTCACCAGATGTGATGTGAAAATACGTAAGCAATTTATAAATATAGTTAAACTAAATAACAAAGTTTCACTTACTTAACCCAAGGTTTAAATTAAAAATTAATCGCTTTGTTACTGGTATACTACATTTAATATCTGTAGCGTAACTTCACTATTTTTGTCTTCCTCACAACTGAGAGGTTATAGAAACCAGTCTAGTCGTTCGCCTACCTTAAAAAGCATTAATTATTTTCTTTATATAAAGATGGCATTTTTGGTGGACGATCAGGTCAACAACTTGATTTTTCTGGCTTTTATTAGAGCGAAAGTGTTCCAAATAAAGTTAAGTTTGAACCAAAACTCTCTCTTTTTTTTTTTTATCGTTAGCACTAAACTCTTATAAGTACAGCAAATATTAAAGTGCATTGCGCGAACAACGATTGTGTGCGTTATCACACGGTAAATAAGCTTTCCTGCTGGTAATACATTGGTTTATTTCATAAGTCAAAACTGCACTAAGGAGCTTAAGCGGAAGAATTTAAGGTAAAAAATAGTTTTCAAGGAACCACGGCGACCTCTTATAACGCGATTAGGTTGTTTGTCTCATCCAACCCTTTAACGGGCAAAACTCTGGGGCTTAAAATAGATTTGTTTTTTCTATGAAGTCGCTGCCTATGTTGAAACTATACTTTAAAGTCCAATATTTGTTTTTATAATTTGATTCTATAAATCCCCATTCATATTTTAAAATGAAACAGTAGAACAAATGTTTACTTACCTATCTAACCAAAAATAAACTTATATCTAGAATGAACACTTTTCACCTTAACACGTGCTCAACTTAACGTTTACTAAGTTTACCACTTTATGTTTTGTTAGTTGCTGTCTAATCCGTTAGAACATGGTACTCTGAGAGCGAGCCTGTCGTTAGGGTCAATTTTCATAAACTAACACAATAACACAGTATGCACAACACCTAAGACACAATTTAAAAACACAATATACGGGGGAAAAAAATAAACATAGATTACAAAAAAAATATTTTCTAAAACATTAAGTATAAATTATACAACCACAAAACACCTATACATAAACACAAAATACAAACAAAACACTAATTATCTAAATTTTTACTGAAAAAAAAAATGATCCGTGATTAATCCAATCAGAAACCTGGGAAACAATCAATAAAAAAAATACTAGAGAAGAGAAATTAATATTTCAACAACTGGTTAGACCTTCATTTTAAAACTTCTTGGCTGACTTGGTAGAAATAAAATTTATTACATTTGTAATACTTTCTATAAAATTTAGTGTAAAAAATATGTAAACTATATAAAATTTAATTTGATCTACCTTATTAACTATCCACAAACTAAAAGAAGTAAAATTTTATCTGGTTCAATCATATTTCGACCTTTTGTAAAGGTATAACTACAGACCGAAACTGGTCAATAAGAGCATCCTTGATTTAATATACTTCTATATGCGTATTTCTTATAAAAATTTTGATATAGACCTACTCTTGCAAATTGAGCATAGGGCGATAAGCGGTAAAAATGGTAAACAGTAACCTATATGAGGATAAAGCGAGGATGCTATTGACGATAAGTGGTAGGCCCAGGCAACAGGCTCATAGTTTTCGAGTACGGCTGCTTACTCTCGATGGAGCGGTGGTAGTAATTCTGGGTGCTTCTACATAGTAAAAGATTGCTTTTTTTCGCTTAAAAAAGTAATTCTCCGTGTACCTTTATAAGGAATTAACCCCTCCCAACAATGAGACACCCTCTTTAGGAGTTGCGGTTAATTTCGACACTTTCTAATATGACGAAAATTGCCTAGGCGTAGACTCGCCTATAGGGCAAGTTTGACCTCAGGTGAGGCTAAACGTTTGTACATTGGTACATGGGCGAGTGCATGAAAAATGAGAATTCTCAGAAGCCCGAGAAGACTTGGTTGCGCTCGAAAAAGACTATGAAGAAGTCGGTCATGACTCCCCCGATGCTCTCAGGACTAGATAGCCCTGCAGTTAATTACGCAATATAGTGGCCGAATTACGAAGAATAATGCGCCCTATCTTTTGCGTACTAGACGATTCTCCAGTAGTAGTTATCGGGTTGCGGTACGTCGCGCACACAAAGTGTAAAGAGCAAGGATGATAAAAGAGAAACTTAAGAACCCCTCGCTGTTGTACTTTGGCGAACAAGTAAGCATTGCCTTCCAGGTATACATATACCATCAATAATAATATTCAATCTAAATGGTATTGTTTGGTACAATACTTTAAGCACTTGTTATAATTTGACGCCCGATGACCTCTACTTTTTACAACCACTCGAAAAAAAACTTACTGACTTATTCTTATTATGACCTTCCCGGTTAAGGGAAATACGATTTAATAAGCAGCTAATCCTTCACTATATATATACAAATTTTTTTAACAAAAAAGCAAAAACCACCTTTACAAAATATTTTTTAATACCTATTTCATATAAAGTTCGTTCGTTTAATTTTCTTTCCCCTTTCAATTTTTTTAAAAACACCCTCAATTATATTTATCAGTTTATTAGCTTACGCTAAGTAGTATACGAGTTTTTTGAAAGGTTAAGGGGTTAGCCGCCTTTTATAAGGCTAACAAACGAGTTACATAGATCGTTAGTAATAACCACTCTGGGTCGTCGCCTTAGACCTCTAGAGTTTAGGAGAAAGGATAAGAGTTCAAACCCTCAC